ACATATTAATGACACGGCAAGTTTCGTTGTCAAGCGTTTATATAATTATTATATAACGTTCCTTTATTATTTGATTGGTTTAACACCTGACTATTATATTATTCTCACTAGAACAAATTACATAGCAAATAATAATAATAATAATAAGCTATGCTAGAACCATCGATAATATAAAATACATACATATATATATAAAAGGATCCGTGTTATTGGCATAATTGCGTTGGGATTAAACAATACAAGAAAAAAAGAACAATAGAAAAGAACAAAACAAAACAAAACCAAAAAAACACACCACCAAAATCCTACTCGTTCACGCGTAAACGTTTTCCATTGAAATGAATTATGTGAATTATGTGGAATAACACGTTTAATTGAACTCTCGTAGAAAGAATATCGTAGAAATAGATAGGTGCATTAAAAAAAAAAATAATCAAGTAGAGAGAGAGAGAGAGAGAAAATGAATATAATTTACATGCTCCAATAATAATCATCGTTGAAACAGATGCACGAGAGAGATTCATAATGGAGCCGTTGTTTTCCGGCAGAGTGAACGTACGCCACGTATGATGCTTGCTATCAGTTATATAGAATATTTCTTTCATAAATCGTTGAGCTAAAACGTAATTTAGGGACGAAAACCGTCTGAACCGTTTATATGAATTTTCATGAAGCTCGGTTTGCGATTCAGACCTAGAATTCTCCCGGACGTCGAAATAAAATATGCAGCAAACTTATCCTTCTCTTTCTTTCTTTATTTCTTTCTCTGTCTCTCTCTCTCTCTCTCTCTCTTATTGCATTTCTCTATTTCTATTTGTTATTCTCTAGAGCATTGCATCGAAAAGATTCCGTTTTTATGAACGCCGAGTGGAGCTAATATGAAATTTTATTTATCGTTCATTTTATTTCACTGATCATTCGACTTTACTTACTGTTCGACATAAATCGGACTGAAAAAAAATAAAAATCGAAAATGTTAAAAAGGATAAATGAAATCCAACATCAATTTCTGTAAGAATCATTCTAAACGTTAGATATTATACAGAGTGTCCCATACAATTGTAGTCATGATTTTTCAAATACTTGCGATATAACCTGACAAAAAAATACTTTAAACAAAAGTTTGATCTGTTTTTCATTGATTATATATTACAATCAAAAAAATGTTCAAAAATATTTTTTCTTTTAATGTTTTTTTTAACCCCTTGGCCTACACGATATCTGCCAATTGTGCGTGCCATAATAAACAAGAGAATCGGTCGCGCGCCGTGCCATTCATCTGTTCAGCCGCGTACTTGAACTGGTGCAAAATGTGTAACTTTCATGACATATGTTTTTCAGAGCAATGAAAGGAGTTGTTAAATAATAAACAATGTGTAGGTACAAATAATAATTTTTAGACGTCTAAGGTGCAATCATAATCAATTAATCAGTTGACAAAAATAATTTATTATTTTAAAATAATGAATCAATAGCAATTTATAAATGAATACTTAGTTAAGTGAATGAAAAAAAAAAAAAATCATGATGATCATTGATGGTTTTTTTTTTCAATCAAAGAAAAAGTATTGGATGTGGAATAAATCCAATCGCTTGTTCGAATAATACGCGGCATCTTATGCACCGATTCCTCACCACGAGTCTGACTCGTGGCTTTYGTTTATGGCACAAATTCTTTACCACGAGTTAGACTCGTGGCTTTTGTTTATGGCACAAATTCTTTACCACGAGTTAGACTCGTGGTTTTCGCTTATGGCACAAATTTTTCACCACGAGTCTGACTCGTGGTTATAGGTCAAAGGGTTAAGGCTACATTAATTTTTTTAAATGGCACTTAGTATTTTGTACTTTACAGTATTCATAGCCCATATTAATACGAATTCAACGATATAGTATATTATGACTTTTAGATGACCTTCAAAGCAAAGAAATGTTGTATACTATATATATAGTCAATCAAAAACAGATCAACTTTTGTTTAAAGTAATTTTTTTGTCAGGTTATCGCAAGTATTTGAAAAATCGTGACTAGAGTTATGTTGGATACCCTATACATTCAAGAACGTTTCTTAACCCTTCTTTGCATGATTTTTTCTTTTTTTTAAAATAAATCAGGGTGATGTAATTAATGCTCCAGATTAAAGGAAAAATATTTAAAAAAATCCTAGTGCTATTTTTTGACAACTGCGTTTTGTTGTACGCAATAGTCGCTTAAAAAGTTGCTAGCAACAACAAATATACAGTACAAGGGTTTTGAGTACCTTTTTTTGTTGACTAAATATTATGATTGAAATTTCCATCATCATGCAAAGAAGGGTTAACCAGTTAAGTGTATTTGACGACTATATCCGTCATGGAAGAATGGCAGAATTTTGTGTTTTGACGACTATATCCGTCATGCGTCAAATTTTCATACAATTTGATATTTAAATTGTAATTCTGGCGAAAAATAAATTATATTCGTAAATAATAATATGTTTAGAATGTTTAGGGGTCAGGACGAAATGAAATAAACAAATGAAAATTATAGATAATTTCAGTTGGACACTAGATCTTTGATTATCTCGATTATTATCTTGACGTGTCATAACCAAAAAAACAAAGTATATTAGATTCTCCATCTGCGATGATGTCCGCGATGTCTAACCAAAGAAAAAAAAAATAAAATTTTGTTTGTTTGTTTGTTTGTTAAATATTTGATTTTTTTTTAAGTTTTTAGTTAATTTGTGTAAATATAGCTTTACGGTGATCCATTGTTTAAATATTACTCATAAATTCATTGATTTTCTAAAATAAAGTCGTCTTTTTGACTGAATATTTCAACAGCACCACTTACTCTGTGTTTGACGACTATATCCGTCATCGGTTGATTATTGCGACACACACTAGGGCGCACTTTGCAAAATGATCGACACAGTTAACTGGTTAAAACGTTACTTTTATCGAATTTGAAGACAATTTGGTTTTAGGAAAAGTTTGGAAGGTAGAAAAAAAAACGAAAAACCGATTTTTAAACTCGTTTTCTACGGATAAGTATAAAATAAACACGCGAAGGTAAGAATACAAAAACGTGACACGGTGAAGATCATAGAATATTAATGTTTCGATGTAACACGTGAGTAGCTTTACAGGGTTGACCAAACTGTTAAGAATTGACCCTAGAGACTTCAGAAGTTTCTCTTAGATCTGTTCTCTTTACCACACCACGAACGGATACTTAGTTCAGAGTAGTAGAATTTTGCCACTGGAGACCTTATCAATTGATGTTAAGATGTTACTTATTGAGAGTAGTTTAAGATAAGGAATAATTTACGTACCCATTTTCTGAAACGTATCTTAACCAAACGTACAACTATACAAAGTACCTTTCGATAATATTAAACTGAATCAAAAGTTCGTGTGCGTTCATTGTGTTGAAACTTTACTTTGAAATTACTCATAATGGGTTATTTTTGTACAATTTTCTTTGGAAATATTAATAAAATAAAAATGCACGAACTTTTGTTTCATCTTAATAATCCTAAGAGAGAGAGAGATAGATAGATAGATAGATAGAAAGTTAAATATATATTCCAATAATTATGAAAGTGGTTTAACAAGGAGACCTTACGGTTGTGCCCTTACGGATTTTAACAAGCTTTGGTATATTAGTAGTATACTAGTAGGATGTTATCGTGATAAAGTATTTCATCCTAACGCGAAGCCAATTTTGAGAAAAAAGCTTCTGAAGTTTTGATTTTAGTTGTATATATGTTTATATTATTTTAAATGCGTTTGTTCATCAAGTGACGAGCTAGGTTATGTAGTAGTGTTCTCGCTTCTCGTGCTTCTAGTTTGTGTTCGATCCTTCATGGGGAAAGTTTTTTTTATAATTTTTTTCCATCCATGAGTTTTAAAATATTTATTGTATGTTTATTAATATTTATTAAATGCAGGTTCCAGAGTGATAGTTATCGTAAAAACATTCAAAACAATAAATTTTTCGACAACTTGTGCAAATTATAAAGGAAAATTGATTACTTGAATTACAGTTAACATTTTATTTTTTAACAGGTATATGAAAATAGATAAATCTTCAATATACTAGCAAATAACAATTGTATATATTCTAATCTTTAACAATTTCATGTATAATATACCTGTTAAAAAATAAAATGTTAACTGTAATATTCCATAAGCATTCATACAGTCCACATCAAGTATTCAAATAATTATTTCCTACTTCTAATTTTTTTGTAATAATTAATTTTCTCTTTCCTGTATATATTTAAAAATTAAAAAATATGAAAAATCAATTTGAAAACAGATAGAAAA